TATTGCTCCTCATAATTAAAAATATCTTACATTTTTATCTGTTATTTTTTATTATTATTCATTTAATGCTATTCATGTGTATCATTTTTTTTTTTTTTTAATTCTTCACCTAATTCTGTTATTTGCTAATATTTATTCATTGCACGTCGTCTATTTGTTGCTAATTTATTTATTACTTCATTATTTACTAGATTTTACTATTTGTAAATTATTTACCATTCACTACTGTCAACTCTCTATTCATTATTATTTATTACTAGTATAGTTACTACCATCTGTACATCACTCACTACGTTACTGAGTTTTTGTTTTATTCATTATTCCGCTTGTTAGTCTCTAGTTACAACTCTCCATTTGTTATTTCCATCTATGTATCTTAAGGATATTTATATCTACATTTTCCTTTAACCTTTCTAAGGATTGAATTTCAATCTGCTTACTAAATGCAATCCTGTTTCTCCAGATAATATTGGCAATGAGAGATTTACCAAACAAATTTTTAACCTATCTGCATGCCATGAAATGCCTTCACAATTGCACATACTCACCATCTCCGCGTTTCTATCGTTGGAATTCCCCATTCGGTTCGATAGGGAGAATCAGATCCGCAATAGTTCCGTGATTCGAGTAGGCAATAAACTCTTGTGCGTGGGCTTTCGTAACGTTCGACGTACAATAGGAATGAAATCATGCTCGAATATTTTCCAATTCGTTTAGAATTTATTATTATTATTATCTGTGACAATTTCCACTTTTGAATCTTTAAGTGAATAGCCGTTGATGATAGTCACGACAAGTCTCGTGTAATGCACCAAGTTTAAATAATAAAAGAATCCTAAGAGCTGTGGAGGAAGGCAGTGAATGAGTGTAAACAATGTGAAAAAAATGTAAATATTTCCAACTGCAATATTTTCATGCTATCGAATTTCAAACTTTCTTTGTCGTTTGACCTTTGAAAGGTCGTATTCATTAGATCGCGCTTTCGTCGAATTGTGTTACTTAATTCGAAAAGAATGAAAGTCAGCATCAAGATCGGTTTATAGCGAGCTAAACTTGTTGATGCCTGTTCGAGATGCGGATGTCCGTAAACTGGTATCTTTGTAGTCAGAAACTGGAATCTTTCAAGATCTTAATTCTGTTTTAGGAAAAAGGGGGTGAATTGTCTTGGCATTTGAAATATATATGTATGTATTTCCTAGTGATTTATTAAGGATTAAGAATTTATTAAAGGATGAATTGTTGAATGTTAAGTAAATTTTATTTATTAAATTTAAATAAATGTTAAATAATATAGGATATAATTAATAGTTCGTCATTTAAAAATCTTCTTTTCTCATTTAATAATTCTATATCTGGTAAAAGTTTTAACTAAAATAATAGATTATTTTTATCGATTATTGTAAGTAAAAGTAATTTCTAAAAGAGATCTGACTTATATAATGATACTTAAATTTTTGTCTTCTTCCTTTAATTCAATGAACTTACGAGTAATTTTTATTTCTATCTCTTTCGTTTCGGTAGTTTATATAGTATTTTACAAAATAGCGGAAACAATTTAATATCTGTTTTTAGAAAATTAATGAGTTGTAAATGGCCAGGAAATATTATAAAGATGTTGTGATATTTCTTCCTTGTTACTTTCTTATAATGTTCCTTAAGTTATATGTTTGCTATAATTTGGAAAGTTAAAAAAACAAATTTTGTATAGATTTTATATAATATTATATNAAATAATAGAATTAAATAATGATTAAAAATGTTTAATATATAATAATATATATAATAATATTGACAATATACAAGTATTATATTTTCGAATTTCATGTCAAAAACTTTCATCTTCCATCTTAGAATCTTTTAGCTGTATCAAATTTCATCTTCTCCAAACCAGCTTATTACACAACTTTGAGCTACGTAACTAACGTAACACGTTACCAAACTATAAATTCTGTCTTAAGAATCAATTCGACGAGATAATTTCTCTGATTCAGCTTTATCTTATTCCATCATCTATTACTTACAATTCTCTCTTTCATCTGTCCTGAATAAAACAAGGAATCTATAAGAAATTTATCTTTGCATTCAAGCAAAAAATCTTATTTTTACTCTTACTTATATTTGAAAAATTATTAATATTTTATTGAACTAATGCAACCATTTGTTAGTCAACCATTCATTTTCATTTAGAAAATAATATAAATACTGAATACCCTAGAAAGTTTGTAATAATTTCTCAAAAGCACGATTTTTTATTGCTATCATAAACACCTTGTCTGTCTGTTTAGAGACTCGATGAATTCTATCTAAAAGAAATACGTGTTTTATATATATATATATATATCGCGGTTTTTTAGAATAAAAGATTTAGACAAAGATTACAACAAGTTCTCGTGTACACTGTATCCTGTTAAGTTAAGAGCGCTTCTCACGTTCTAATGTTCCCTGCATTTCGAGGAACCGTGCAATGCCCTTTAACGGTAAAGGTGAACGGCATCTTTAAAAGGGCGTTCGTTTTGACACGAAACACCGGTAGATAGAGAATTCTGGTCGAGATACCCGATCAGCATAGATACTATCTCGAGAGCGGTGCTCTGTCATATAAACAATTTCGTGAACCTCTCTCTCTCTCTCTCTCTCTCTCTCTCTCTCTCT